TAAGTCTCTGGATATTCTCAATGTACACAACCCCTGACACTTCAACAAAAGGAATGCTATGTTGGGATAGGAATGTGTGAAACCACGAATACGTTGGCCAACTACAGACAAATGTTCAATGGCGTGACATTGGTAACAACTTAAAACCCACATATTTATTTTCACTCTTTCAAAACCTCCCATGCATTTACGCATGTTGCATCGTTTCTTAGGTGTATTTAAAATTGAACATGCTAATATTATACGCAGTAAACAATCTATCTCATATTGGAAATGGTGGTGTAGAACTCCACCGAAAAACCTCCCAAAAAAATCTTATTAAATATCCTATTAGTCGTATCAAGTACAAACGTACATTGTTGCTTTACACACCTAAGAATGCTTTCTTCTCCAGAAAATGTCATCCACTGTGGGTTCTTTTTGTCAAAAGTGGATTTGTCATTGACCATTGTCATTTGTCATTACCGTAGTCAGAAATTCATGTAATATCCTGCCATTTCTCCCTTGGCTCCTGTGGATGTTAATATTCAATATTCACCGTGTTGAAGTTTCTCTAGATTTTCTACACAATCAAGTTTACGTTTGCTTGTCCCAACTGAACAGCCCCAAGTTGTGCTTTGGAATTCACAAGCTGTTCAGTAAGACTCAAGCTGTCAAAAGACCAGTTAGCTTCCAACATTCTTCACCCGAATATCAAACCTGACATGCACATCAAAAGTATTCACACAGATGAGGTTAAAAAGGCCGGTGTGTGTTTATACATAAAAAGCTATGTAATTTAAAAATTTAAAGAAAATATTAAAACAAATTTAGAATGGTGCATCTGCACATGTACATTATTTAGGATTATAACATGGAAAAAATTCAGTGTCTTTGATCAGTTCTTCTTCATGATCGAATCGATAATATATCCTCTACATAGATTTTCACTTACGTGAGAAAGAGGTAATTGGAGCCTTTGTTCTAATAATGAAGAAGAAGGTGTTCAAATGCTAATATTGCATTCGGACATCGAAGGTTCATAATATCAGTCTCATATGCACAATGACAAAGTTGAAAGTAAGTCGACCGTAAGGTAAGTAAAGAACATAAAACATCTTAACTCTGAGGTATATAGTCTACTATCTGCACTATTGGCAAATCTACGGAACGACAGAAATTGATGCAAGAAGAATCCATGGGAGGTGGAGAAAGGAGAAACATGTAGAAGTATATTTTCCATTTATGATCTTACACCAGAGAAAAAGCCATCAAAACATTGAAGGATAGTACAAAAGCACGAGTAAACCGTTGTGATCTACCGTAATAAGACTCAAAACAAAGGTAGGTACGGAACTTTGGCAGTCGAAATTTGAGGCATAAGTTTTTATTTATTTATCAATAGTGAGAAAAACACATGGAGCCATGCTTCCAACACATGTACAAGAATTCGAAAGACATAAAATCTTGATCAATATGTGATTGAAATGAATGTAAGGTAATGAACTTTTATTGGATGGTTTAGAATTGCTTACAAGTGGAAGACGTAAAGATGGATTTGTGAAGAAATGCATGAACGGATGGTTGTTAGCTCTTGGCAAACGTGCTTTGAAAACAGGATGGGCAGGTCGTGGGTTTTCAATGTCCCCTCGTTCACAGCAGTGTTCCAAATGGTCCAATTTAATACTTCCAAGGCATCATGCAAACTACTCGTTCCAGGGCTCGAAGTGTGAGCTGCATCGTGACACCGATCCATAGCGCCTGAGATCTACATTTTGGGGTCATTGCTTTGCTCTCAGAAATAAAACTTGAAGCGTTGGTAAAGAGCTCGACCTCAACGGCATTATGAACGATCTCGTGCCATGTAGAGGAATCGTGACGATGAGTCGTGCATCTCACACATGAGATCTCGCTCCAGTGTCCCAAGGGAGGACGGACTGAGAACAGTACAAAGTACAGTAGTATACAGAATCGAAGGAGTGTCGTGAGAAGGTGACACCCGTCAGAAGTACAAGGGAGTAAAAAGCTCGAAGCAAAAGCTGCTGGAAAAATGGAACAGCAAGTTCGTAGGCGGCAAGTACAGTGGTTTGGATTGTGCAGAAAGTTAAAAGGATTTGGGCTGATGCGATTTTCTCATTCAGGCTATTTCCTCCTGCAAATTTCAACCTACTCATGCATGCTACCATTCAACTGCCAATTTTAGATTCTACAGTGCTCGGGGCGCACTTGATTCCCTAGGGGGGACTAGTAGCCTCAATCATCTCATCTGAATATGGAAGCAGTACAGTACTTTGTCGCGGGAATGTTATCTGGGATTTTGGTTGGTACATTTTCGAACATGTTCTGTGTTGGTGAAGTAGAGCAGAGTAAATAGTGGTATGAATGTAGATAAGCCCTCGGACAGTTCGCTTGCGCCATCTGGGTGGTGGATATTCTCGCTGATGCGGGAACGGGAAACAGCATTCAAGCAGCACTTAGCCAACTGACAACGTAACTCAGAGAGCAGTTCATTAGGACATTCTTGCGGGAAAACTTCATATCCGTTCATCGAGATGTGGAGTGACTGACGAGGAGGACTTCTCTTGAGGCTTGACCCGTCGTCGTCGTCGTCGGCTGTCACATCGAGGAGAGCGCTGGGTGGCTTTTCTTTTCCCGGCGGATGTGAGGACTGATGGATGGATGGATGGATGGACGAGAGAGAGATCAAATCCGATCCTAATCCCGAGAAAGCGACCGATCGACAGATGGTTTCGGCCTTCCAGCCAAAGGATTTTGCAAAGCTGTATGTGTACAGTGGAAGCGTGCGTAGCTTCGGGAATATCTGAGGTAGAAGTGTACAAGGCAGCGCAAAGTTGCCAGCAGCCGGCTCCTTAATTACCAGCGATCCGTAGCCGATCGAGCATTAATAAAGGCACACTTAGCAATGATTGTCATTTACATCCGGTGGCTACCGCCGGACATGTCAGTGCGAGCAAGGGCGGACGGTCAGTGAGTGAGTGAGTAAGTAGCAAAAGGCACGTCGATGCACACACACTTTCCTGCGCCATCCTCGTCGCTCTCGATCTCTCTCTCTCTCTCTCTCCTCGCCGTCCTTCCCTCCTTCCTTCCCTTCCCTTCCCCTCCCCTGCCCGCTCGCTCGCCCGCCCGCCCGCGCGCACCTCGTCTCGAGACGACAGACGACACGAGAGAGCAAACTGTACTTTTCCTGATATTTCTACTTTCGTATTCGGCGCACGCACGTGATGTCAGCCTTCGAAGCCATGGAGGTCGAGGACGGACGCTCGTAGTTCTCCATGGACAGTACTATTCCACACGCGACCACTCACTCACTCACTCGCTCACTCGCTCAACTCGACATAGACGCATCCAGATGGTCTGCGCACTCTGATCTGGCTGCTGTCGGTCAAACGTAGATGCTTCCCTCGCTCGCCACTCTCTCTCTTCTGCCTCGCGCCTCGGCCTCACCTTCGCCTCCACCAGACTGGCATGAGCGTGGCAACCCCCCTATCCGCCCCTCAAAGGCGCCTGGGAATCAATGGCATGTAACCGGCCAGCCCGACGAGCGCCTGCATGCTCCCCTATTCTGTTCCACTGTAGGTTGGGCTTTCGATGGCTCCAGCCAAACGGTCCCATGGGGCCCTTCCTTTGTCTGTTGCTCGTTTGTCCGTTTTCCATCTTGGCTCTAGAGCGTTTCTCGCATGCCCAGACACCCCCCTAGTGGACGTTGCGCTCGCGACAGCTCCCCACGCACCTTTTCCACTGTTCGTTCGTTTCGTTCGTTCGTCCCCCGCCTCCCTCTCCATTGCTGCGCGCTCGCCTTCGCCCCTTCGTCTACGATGTCGGAGTCGGTAGCGAGTACGTAGAGACGAGACTGTATGTGTATGTCCTGCGGCTCGTGCCCACAGGCGCTTGGACTGTGCGGCGAATTCGACTTTGCTCTCGCTGCGGGCTCAGAGAAAGTGTTGTGCCCGACCGGGAGGTGGTAGGCCGGAGTGGAGCCAACCGGCCTACTCAAGTTTGCAGCGGACTCGGTCCGGGGGCCTAGGCCTTCGATCGCCATGCTTCTGTACGATGGTGGACTCTTTGTAGGCCAGGAGACATTTTCCACGTACAGCGACGTATGGAATCACGACTTTCATTTGTACTGCAGCAGAGAACAATTTGTAGTCTCATGCTGAAAACGATAAGTTAGTACCCAATTTTGTACCAATTCCGGGTTTGATCAGCGAGTATGATGCTAGCTTTTCACTCCTCACTATCTTCTTAGCAGTTTGATAATATTACCTCCTGCATTTTTCCATTTTGTTCCTTACTACTCCATGTTCCTTTTCGTGTTTATTTTCTCAGTGTACATTGATGGGTATGCTTATGTACCTGTTAATATTCTTCTACTTCTGTATTTTCTTCAGACTTGTTGCTTTTAATGAAACAAATTCAGTAATAGTTTAGATTTTACTCCATTTGTTTTCCCTCCACCACGGTCAAACTCTTCTTTTGTGTGGGATAAAATCTAATTCGGCACATTTCCTTCATTGATAGAAAGGAGGTGTTTATAGTTGATCTACAATATACGTTTGCTTCGCTAGATACCTTACCATCTTGCAGTAATCACCGAAAGTTTCCTTTCCCTGCGTGCAATTTAGTGACTTTGCAGTGCAGTTTTTTCTTCGGTTAAATAAAGTTGAGAATAAATTATATCATCAGCTTTAGCTTTCATTCCATTTAGCTTACCTTCTCCACTAATTACAATCCGACAGTGTCGAGATGAGCCATTATATACAAAATAAATGGAACAAAGAAAGAACTAAACGTGATTGCGTTAATTTATACCATTCTATTAAGATAAATCATTTACCCTTCCTGTCACACGGTCGACGTCTGTTATAAGCGTCGAAAGCGGTAGCAGGAGGTTTAAACTGTGGACTGAAGTGAATACCAATCGTGGAAATGACATCTCAGACCATTTCCACGATAGACTATGGAGATGCCGTGCAGAAACTGTCAGCTCCATCCTTCGTTGGCTAGACAACGTGTCTTGACAACAGTAAGCCCTCAGCTGGTAAGACCTTCACTATGAAGTAATGAGCTGAAAGCAGCTAGGGGTTTACCATTGACAAGGCACGCTGCCTAGAATAATAGACAGATGTGACATGGACCATAACTCAGTACCTCCACCCCGGCGTTGGCTGTGTATAAGAGGCCTGCCTCGTCAATGGCGAACTCTCAGCTGACAGGCATGGAAATAGCCGTATCCACGACAGGCAGCTAGGGGTTTACCATTGACGGAGTAGACCCCATATTATAGTGTGATGAACGACCCTTTCAGTCTCGCAATTGCAGCTGATACTCGGCGAATGGCTGCATCGGCAAATAACAAGAGGCATCCAGATAGCTTGGCCGTCACAGTGTATGAACTCACTCACACTACCAACTTGTGACAACTCGATGGCCAGATCAGGATAGTGATCTCTCAACCCAGTTACGGATGTGATTCAAACAGCGCGTTCTCCACAGCAGGCCTAAAACATCCCTATGAAGTAGGCTCTGTCAATGACAAACCCTCAGCTGGACTCCGGCTAAGAACCGAGGAATCACATTCAACCCAGCTAGGGGTTTACCATTGACAGTGCATGCATCACAGATAGTCGATCGATTCAACACTACCCAACATCGCGTCCGGCTTCATCCAAACTGCAGAAGAGGAAACATAATTCCCAGACAAGCAGCACACTCTGTGCATGAAAGAAGCTGTGGCACTTAGGCGACCAAACACCCTCGGTACACAGTCTCGACGTAGAATCGGAGATACGGTTATGCGAGCAAGTCTGAAATGGTCGTGCGAGCGAGTCTGATGTCCGAAACCAAACCAGATCTCGGCATCATCTGCACAGTGAAGCGGTTGCAACACAGTCACCATCCCAAACAATCCTCTCGACATATTTGAGAACTAGCCAAACAAGCACTCAGCCCGAGTGCAAATCATCTGAGAGCGGGCCCAAATTTCGCACACACACGTTCCGTCCCGTCCTCTAGCTAGCAGCTCGAGAGAAGACTCGGAGCTGCATATAAAATTAAACACGCGCGATCTTCACATAGAGGGGAAGGAGAAGACAAAGTGCTCGCTCTCAGCTCTCGGGAGGTGATGATAGTGGACGGCGCTAGAGATCTACAACAGCGCGAGAGTGCCCAATGACGATCCGACGAGACATGCTCAGCAACTACTCCGCGCTCGCTTGAGCCTGCCTGTCCGCCGAATGCAATACAAGTAGGTTCAGTCGAGCTAAATATGAAGGCCAGTAGACCTCAGTCGAGGTATTGAAGGCAACAGCCAAGACAAACATGCATGGGCTGATCCGCCGCCTCCGCCGCCTCATTTTAATCAGCATCTACTAAGCTGGATTTCTTTCCAAACAAGTCATGCCTTCAAATACTGCTTACGGAGGTCAGGTCATTACCCGCAAACTAACTCTGGGAGTTAATACGGGCACGGACCGGGTGAGGATCGGCGTCGCTGACCGGGTGGGCTTTAACCCACCCGGGATTAGAGGAGAGGTAGGTAACTGTGAGCCCGGGTTCGAGGTTAATCACAGGATGACCACATTAAGTGGATCAAGAGCTCGTCGGTGATGCGCATGACGCAGGTTGCAGCCGACCAGTCAGTATAGAACTGTATCAACACATCTGGCATCTCTTTCGACCAGCTCTAGCAGGTTGGTCGTTCGTCGCAATGGTTTCCAGTGGGTCGCAATTTGGACCAGATTTCAGAGCTAGTGTGGACCCACAGCTTCGACTGGAAATGAGCCAACTCCCACAGCGCAGGTGGGAACCATTCTTCTTCACTCGCCGTCTCCAGCAGCTCCTTGTACACCATGACAAATCTATTTAATTTCTTTTCGAAATTCGCCGGCGCTCTTTATAATCTTCCCGTACTTAAGGTAGGATCAGTAGGCGTGGACAGCTCCCGGTAGGGTAGAGGAAGTACCTTAACGCGGATGGACCGGCGAATGGCACCTCCACTCCAGCCCACCGTCTCCCTGCACACTTTTCATGTTACCTGCAAGGCCTCCCCATCTCACAATGGTTATTATGATCATGGTGAGAATTTGCTCAGGCTTTGAAACTGGTCTCTAAACACTGGTAAGAATCGAGGATTGATTTTTTGGGTATTTAACGCAACAACACTCGAGTTATACATTGTGAATCTATGTGTAGATTTAAAAATTTTCGATATTCATGTGAAATCATTTTAAGAAATGAATTCAAATAAAATCGGTATGGGTATGTGTATTTAATAATGTGTATATAATTAACATGTTATGTGTGGTATCATTAGTTATAATGAATATATCGTATTGTGTTTGACGTTTGATAATCAAGAGTTTTTTTTTCCCAGATCTGAAAACATAAATCTAGATCTGATGAAATTCATTATATGTATTAGGTTTATCAGATTATAAAAATTAATGACTACTTCTTATTTCAATATCATATGTTCAGATCATACAATCTACCATGACATGACAAGTGATAATATAATTTTTGTAGTTCATATTATATTTCTGAAAAGCATAACATAGTTATATAAAAGCTAACATTTGTGAATCGAGTTTATCATGTTTCTTTCTTTATATGATGTTGATTTTATACTTCATATATTGTAATTTCATCATATATTTTGTGAATTTTATTATTCAAAAGCGCATAAAAATCACTGCCATATATAAAACAACATTTAACTTTATCATGGCATTGGAGTTTTAAGTCTATTAAGAGACTTACAACTAGCCATGACCTTCAAGTATGTAAACAAACTTGTGATACCTATACTTTGAATTTCAGGCATTTTAATATACTGGTTTTAATAATATATTATATGATTTCTTGATGAACTATCTTTCAACAAAAATAGCTCTTAGCATCAACCATATTGCAAGTTGGATCTTATTCGTTTAATTAAATAAATATGTATTGAATATTTATAAATAATATAATTCTTAATTACAATTTCACTGTAATGTATGTTTAATTGAATGGTTAATCATGTTATTCTCACAATATGGATGCAAATCATTTTAATCTTAAATAAGTGTTGTTGGTCAAATCTTACTCTATAATTTCAAGCATACAAACAAAAAAGAATTCGTGTATCAATAGACATAGTTTATACCAGACTCAAATTGAATATTAAAATGGGGTACATGTGTTTGTAAATATTGATAATTTTAATAGGTATTGAGGCAGGGAGTCAATTTGAAAGATATTATATGGTAACTTGCAAATCACATGAAAGTTCCGAATACATTTGACTAGTTTTCATGTTGTATCACAATAATCAGAAAATCAATAAGTTAAATATAAATTATTATATATATTTATATATATATATATAAATAAATAATGCGCCGTTTCGTAAATCATGTAAGTAAGTGATATTACATAATTTTTTTTTTTACAAAAGTTCAACCCATATTGAAGAATACAATTTTTTAAGCTAGACAATTGTCTTTGTATCACATTGAAGTTTTGTGTGTGTGTGTGTGTATATCCAGCGTGAAAAAATAATGGAACAGATGTTGAGCCTACTATAAGTGTATTGTCACATAACATTCTCTTCTCATGAGCATTGTTGAGAGTGGTTAGTCATTGATTTGAATATAAGTCTTGATGAAATATCTAGACATATTCATCTATCATATATTGATATTTTAATCTTGAGAAAATTCTCGATTCATCTCGAATTTGAAATATTTTCTCATTTTATCAATTATTATATATACATATATTAAATTTATAAAAATTTTATGATTTAAAATTTGGCAGTTCAACATTGTGCATTATATCATTATCAAGTGTTAAACCTAAATTAAATCATTTTTAATCTACTCCAGGTTTTAAAATAATCTAATTTCATACATATTTATCAATTTAAATAATTGATCAGAATATTACATAAAAATATATGTGAGAGGACATTGAATTTATTATCTAGTTCTTTTAGTATAATACGAGATTTGGTCCAATGAGTGAAAAAAATCCATCACGTGGAAATAGTATAAAGAGAGACTATTAATAAGTTTGTTAGTTACAGGAAATCGAGAAATACAGAAAAATTCAGTTATAAAACAGATCAACTTAGAACTTTAGCATCCAGGAATTATATGATATTCAAGATTGATCAATTTATTGATTGAATCTGGATCAAATGATTGATTTTAAACATGTAGTACCTAAAATTTAAAGTTATTTGCAATTGTGTAATAATGAAAAAATGGATTAAAATTAGGTGAAAACATTATTTTGAATCTTTTCAATTAAAAATTATTTTCTAAAAAAATATTAATTTAAGAATAACATGCAGTGCATAAATTAATATTCATCAATTTGACTTATTTCAATAAAAATATACAATGAAAATATTGCTGAGATATTACATGTTTATCCCACCGAATCTAAACGATATTCACGACACTGGGATCACAGCTACTGGACAGTTTAGATCCCTGATATTACATGGTTTACTATCACACATTAAGCCATGGGACGAGTGAAGAAAGGGTGGAGCTAGGGTTACTTAATATATTAATATGGCATTTCGTGTACTCGAGAAGAAACTGTAAAGAAATTACAAAGTGTACACACCATTAATGGGTGTTATTACCACACTTATAACCTATTACTTGATCCCTTGTACATAAAGGGACATGACCGGAAGACACGAATCACGTAACGAACATGGCTATTTTTAGTATATGTTCACTCGAGAGTACAGGTTATTTACGTGTTGCCTTCCTGCGGCTAGCCAGGGTCGTCCGAAGAGGGGCCTCTTGTATAAAACAAACTCAGATAAACCTTTTCACAATGCATATTCTGAGATTTGTTTTAATCTATATATGGGGATCGTAAGTCGAAAGAATTTGCAATTATGGGAAAGAACGGCTCAGGGTATTCTTAAATGACGATTAGCCAAATGAAGTAGATCGTGTATGTTAATTATGAGAGTCAGAACGCTACTCTCCACCTACTGCCACAGACAGGAAAATTTGACGGTGATTGTGAGTTCCTAGTGGACAGGAGGCAGACAGAAGGTACAAAAAAGGTATAATTACTTCTATATTAAGTGTCTAAGCCTATATCTGATTCCCAGATTCTTTCTGTGCATTCTCGAATATCATCATGCTAGTTTGAAATCAGATGCATTGATTGGGGAACTCCAAATCTGACTGGTTTATTATTCACGAAAAGTACGAGATTTGTTTCCCTTAATATCATGGCAAACAGACCCATTCTCTAGAATGCCCATCTTCAATGTTGCAAAAGACGATGAGTAGGTGACTGTGTACTGTCGGTCAAGCATTAGCATTTGTGCCGTACATAAGACAAGCATCAATCTTGTTAATTACACCTGAAGTCATTTTTAATTTAATCAGCAGTTAATGCGTGACTGATGATATCGACCTGAAATGATTATGAATGTGCGTGAGAGGTATCCTCGTATTTGGCGTATCTTACTTGTTCACCTGTAGTGGACTTGCACGAACATGAAGTTACATCGAAGGAGATACTGGACGTCAAAAGCTGTCTTCTGAGGTAAACATTCGTGCTGTTACCGCCACTAATAAGGGGACGGCGAGGAGAAATTACATTGGCTATGGGAAAATATACAGAATATTCAGGTTAAGCTATCTCAACTTTGTGTGCGAATGGTTAACGCTTGGAAGCCAAAAATGAAGTTCCTAAAAAATGGTCTTCTAAGAAATCTATGGAATTCTTGAGTCACAAAAAACCAAGTATAGTATTTTAAAATTTTACAGGTCATGATTCCGTCTTCACTCACTTTATTGGGCACAAAATATCTACCTATGAGTTTTTGAATTAATTGTCATGAGTCTTCACTTTGCGATGCTTGGACCTTATGAAATCTTCGGGTAATTTCTACGAGTAGTAGGTTGGTCAAATGTTTGGAAGGTAATGTTTCCTGTTAATTTACTTTTACAGTAAAACTCTCTGTAACAATAAACCGTCACTTACTTATCGTTAAACCCACGCCATGGTTTGCAGGTTTGAGATACATTACTCAGATGTTCACATATCTTTTCTTTAGAGCAGTGAAGGAGAGTGTCTAATCGCTCCCAGTTTAGAGCAAAGGTGGATAAGCAAGTAATAGAGACGGACTTCACTTTACAACCTCACAATTCAAAGAATTCATTTGGATACGTGGTATCATGATGGTGGTGATATGTTCCAACATGAGTACAAAGCATGCATGACATGTAAGACCATACACATGAGTTGACGTAAATATTTTGAAAACAATAGTACTTCTATGACGGAGTGTTAGGTCATGATGTCATGAAATAGGGGGATAAGTTTAATCGATGCGAAGGTAAGGGATCAACATGTGCATGTTTTGCCGATAAATTACAAACTTTCAACAAATAAAGGTGGAAGGAATGTAGTATACACTATAAATTAAAACATAAAAATAAGAAAAATGTAGAGATGAATTATTATATGGTAAATGGTAAATATATCAAACCCGTGGGACCCAAAGGGTCAAAAGGCTAAAAAAAACATAATACAAACAATACAACTCCAAACTAGGAGAGAACCAAAAGAATCTCCTAGCTAGTGTCCAAAGCACTAGAACGGTAACTAATAATATTTCTAATGTAACAACCTAAATCATAAGGCTCGAGTTGAAACAGAGAAAAAAAATTCTCGACATCAACTTTATGCGCCACTCGAATAAAGCAAAACAAATCTAATAATGATCTATATACTTGCTTAGAATTAGGTTGAATTTATGTTAACTAACATGTTATTTGGACTGAAAAGTGAAGATAAGTATATATTATGGATAAATTATTTAGGTCTTATATATATATATATGTATAAGACCGAAATAATTTATCCAGGGCCAACTATTTACTACCACATTAACATGAGTAATGATCTTATAGACGTCTAATATTCAGTTTTGTGTCTGAACACATTTATTTAAAAAATCTATAGCATATCATGTTTAATGATCATTATCATGATATTAATTCATTGAATTGAGAATATTTATCAGATTACTAAGTATATTGTGAGTATGAAGTTGATTCAAAATCCATAATTGGTAATTTATATGATTAACATTGAAAAATCTGTCGGTATATATTTGACATTAAAATTCAACAGGAATAACATTCATTTTCAGAATCTTTCAATTTGTGGATTTTTGAATGTGAATGTTTGGAATGAAGTACAGTCAATGTGTTGATGAGTTTTTTTATCATTAATATTTTCTCAAAATCATAAAAAGAGTTGATAGTTATAAACGTTGACAACGAAATTTCGATTTCCTTCTCATAAACTTCAATTTAAAAATGTATTTCAAGAGCAGATTATATTGTAATATTTTAAGAAAACACTGTATAAAATTTCGACTTCAAACATGAAATTAGAATATAAAATATTGATCACATAAAGAAAAACAGTCATATTTCAATTTTGGATGAATATATACCGTAATTAATATTGGGATTTTGACAATTTGAAATCATATTATGAAATGTGAATGAACTAAATCATGAAAATTGTTGAAGACTTATAGAAGTATTTTGATCTGATTTAATTCAAGCGTACATTGAAAATACTACAAGATATTTGAAATTTATCATTATATAGATTTGAAAATATAAACCATGACATTTTGGAATGAAAATTTGAATTAATTTGACTGGAAGGTGGTTTGGGTCACCATATGATTATCAAAAGTAATTTATAAAATAACCGATGTATTCTTCATAATATAGTATACATCAATGTAGATCTAATCACAATCCATGCTTCTCTCATATGTGTAACTAGACAAAGTAACAATAACACAAACATATATTATGTAAAATACATCTCAGAGCACTCATGAGCGAAACTTCTTAGTAGCACGGAAGGAATTTCTTGATGACACATGACTTTTATGAGAATATTATGACTTGTGTCGTCTTCGGGGCATTGTTAGTATAACCGCAAAACCTTAGGCAGAATATGTTCGCCGTTTAGCTATACTACATCCAAAGAAATTTTCCGAAATCCATCTTACTCTTCTCTCTTACTTCGGATTGAGTCCATAAGAATGCAACTATTTCAAATCAAATTTACTAACACTCTATACTTCATGAATTTTTACATGACTTAAACGTAGCCTTGCACAAAATGCTGTTAATATTTGTATTTGTACGGGAAGAAAGATTGAGGAATCTTCACATGTCAACCAGTAAATATTCAAAGCGTATATTCTATCTTTGTAACAGTCTGTCAACATTTCAAGAGTAGTGTTTTCTCCTCTACATTCTGAAGCCTAACAATATGGAGATTTTTTACTTTAAAACCCATAAACTCGTTCTATCCAACCAACAATAAAATTATTCTGACGAGGAAGTGACTTTCAAACGGATTATTGAATTATACTTTCAGAGCAAAATCTTTAAGCCCTTAGTAACTCTAGGATTTTCCGTTGATTTCTTATTGAAGATATTAATCTGCCCAAAGTAGATACCATATTCAATGTATTCATTCAGGACTCATCGTGAACACCATTTTGAATACGTTTCCAACAAGGAGTCTAGAAGATTCTTTAGCACTCCTGGAGCCTTAAATACTAAAAAATTCAGTGTCGTAAGGTTTTCTGCGTTCAATTCTGCGCTGCAAGATCTTTTAAGTTCAAGACAAAGCAGACAAATATATTAATTGACTCAACAGGTCATATTGACTTCAGTAACGCAGATTTCCGCGACACGGATGTGACAGCCATACCTCGTCATATAATTGTTACCATCTGACTGATTTTCCTCAAATTAGCTCTGATAATTTGATGAAGTCCAGAAAGCAGTGTCTGTTGGATACATTTAAAAGACCAAATATGAAGATAGAAGTTTGACGTACAGTCAAACTGCAAAGTCAACGTTAAACTAAACCCTTAAACTAAAGCGGACTGTTGAAAAACACCTGCTGCAAAGTTGCTTCAAACCTTCAGCAGCTAAATTACAGGACTGATCAACTAATGTTCCACAAGTAGGGAGTATTTACTTGTTGAGTTTCTTTAAGGCTATGCATTACAGATATCTCCTTGGGATGGTGAAGCTTCGTCGTCTCCGCTTCACCTCTGATCAAGATTTACACTACGTTCCAATGACCTTGTACTTACATTTGGGGTTGTATGCATCAGACGTTGCTGCAGGCTAAGGAAATATATACACACATACTGAACCAGAGCCAGCAGCAATCATCCTTGAAGTATATTGAATTAACACAGGCCCCACTGATCTAGTTATCTTCATCATTTCCTAGAATCAATGCGCGTTAGTGTCATGACAGGATCATCTTGCGTTGATGGTTGTCAAAATACTTAACTTTTGGAGGATCTGCCTCACTTCCTGATATGGGTAGGACAGTATGAAGGAAAGATGGTTTCATAGAGACTTTGTGCTGCATCTGTCGAAACCGTAACTGCCTGTTCAATGCCACCCTTGTGCTCAATGGGATAGATAGTTTACATAACTGAGTAACCTGGACCACCACCACCTTCAGGTACAGTCCACTGAATGTTTTGTAGAGGGTCTTTGATGTCGCAAGCCTGCAATCAAATCCCAAGGACACCCGTCCGAAAATAAGTTACCAACATATGCTGAAACATGTATAGTGCGTCTTGATCAGCAATTTGTGTGCCAACTTCACAAATATGCTTCAAACCCTCTGGTAATTTTCTCCAGGAGACTACAGATCCACTGTCGAATCATATACTATTCGAATCTAAGTGATTCTCCGCGATAGTACATGAAACAATATGCAAAGGATTCATGCGTCCAAGGGAGAAATTCAGGATACAAGGAACTAAAAACCCTTGGAACCAACTGGAGTATCTTTAACGATGATAAAAGCGACAAGAATCAACTCACCTTGCAGTGGAGGCAATTTTGAGCATTTATGTGAAGTTCTAGCCTATCGTTTTTATCAGGTAAGTACCTGAAATCAAGCAAACAAGCATGCATCAAACCACACCCACCCTAATGGTTTCGTAAAGACGTACAGGCCTCTTGGATGAGCGATAATTTCAATTCTAGCTGGAATCTTCATCCACGGTATTCATGCTTCACGAACAACCATTTCCATGCTTGCATTTACGTGGCATATCTCAGCGTACGCACAACCATGTACATGTTGAAATATATTTCCAGTGTCCTTACGAAAACTAACGGTAAGTATATGATTAAAAATACGTACTCATAAACACGAGCAGGACAGTAGCGACCCTCAGGTCCTGCGAATTTTGCTAAATTGACATTCTCTGGTACATTTACATCACGTAGGCGCAGGTGAGCCGGTTGATCATGGTTGTGATTAGTGTTACTCCTGTATCAGTTATCAAGTAGTAAGACGCGTTTCCCATACCTTGCTCATTGCGTTTGATGAGGCTAAGATATAGAATAGTATGGTTAACTTCGGTCCGAAAATGCCTGTCCTCAAAGGTCATACACAACTGGTGAAACGAACTTTGACGAGTGTTGGAGAAGGATAGGTGATGCCTGTGATCTTAGAACAATCACCATCATATCTATGGCCATTCATTTGATGAGTCATACAAGGTATATTGTTCCAACCTGTACAGAGAAGTCAGCACATCGAAAGACACAATCCCGTCTGGTTTTGGATAAGATATTGGTTTATGCACATCTGCAGGCTGCAGACGAGAGCATCCAGTCCCTATTAAACTAAGGACTCAATGTCAATCTCATCAATCTTAGGACGAACATTGTACAAAGCAGATAAAAGAGTTGAACAGGGAAGATTAAAACACAACCCTACCTCCGTACATTCGTGATCTGGTTTTCCATGTTTAAGTGTCCAAGGCAACCGTCCTCTCGTTATATAACTGCGCAGACATATAACTTGCATATAAGGTCGAATATTATGACCCAATGTTGTGAAGGATCTGGACCAGGTGTCGGCTAAAATGCCCAGCATTTTCCATCTCAAAATACAGCAATACTTGAACTGAAAAGTGAGTGAGTATTTTAGTGGACGTACTGCTCAAGGCCTGCAATTGCCATGCCCGCTAAGAGACCATGATCAAAACCCTGTAGATTTCTCGAATGTGAGATTCTTATCATGCATAGAACTCAAGCATGTCCTTACGGTAACGTAGTCTGAAGGTGGGTAAGTATAGACATTCCGAATACAGCTAGATGGGCATAATCATTTAAATTTCAGACTTTGATAGTCACGAAAAGGTACCGGTCGTATGTTTCTAACTTGGTGCAACTCCTTCCACACCCAAGAAGTTTTCAAGGAAGACCAATACTGTTCCATAGATGGTTGCTGCGATGTTTCTTTGCTTAGGGCATCAAACGCAGCCTCTGCTGCCAGCATCCCTGCATTGTCCAGCCATCTCCACCTTACAACTAATGTCTCATGTGTATTGAAGAGCTTGGAAGACCGTTAGCTCTGACTTCCATTTACTTCTTTCCTATTCTTGGTTCTTTTCCACGAGTGTTAAAAGATCAAGTGGATTTTGGGTATATTCCTACTGTGTGTATTTTGCTATACGTAATTTTTCTCTTTTTTTTTGACAGTTACAGGAAAAGTCTTTTTACTACGGCTCTCACACATTCTTTCGGTCAAACATTACACGCGATTTGGATGCTTTCAGATCTAAACAGAAGTTTGCCAACAGAAAGTACGATCTTAGGCATGCAGAAATAACGCCACATAGAAAGAACAGTCTTCTTATTTCAAACGGCATACTCACAGATTCACCGGGTTTACCTGACTTCATTGCTGTATGGGAGCCTTTGATCTTCGGTACGTTGATAAAACCTGCTGTACAACCTATAAGTGCTCCACCAGGAAACGCAGTTTTTGGTATAGACTGCAAAAGACCAACTGAAAATTTAGCAAAGTCACGAAGGAATGGATGAAGAATAAGATTCTCATAATCTTTTCACAACATCAGGAACCAAATAGAGAGAAAGCACGCAATATACACGGGATTGATTGGAAGCCTTGTGAACCTTCATTCATCAGTCTGGGAAAGAGCGGACCTCGTGAGTTTACCTGGATGCCACCCTCATTCAGAGTGCGAGCTCCATATTGAATAACATTTCCACCCTCGATGAAGGGCCTAATAGATGGATGCTGCTTGAACCTCTGTGAAGAAGAAGGCAGTTCTATGTGATAAAGACAATCTTCTAGGCGCTTCTGCAAAGCAGATGCTGAGCATTCTAGCAAGGTGAGGTAGGAAGTAAATATTTTAGAATTCGAGGTCTGCAGCTAAACAACTTACATGGACTTGCGTTTAAGTAACTTTTACTATTGAAGTTCAAGAATTGGTTTCTTGAAATGTAATCTGTTAATAATAACTTAAAGAAGGCATTTACCTGGCTACTTAACTATTGAGTCAAACAATACAGCTAATTTTAAATGCATAAACTCACGATTGAATCAAGGGGATCATATATTTTCCGTTACATGAGATAATTGCAAACCTGATATTCCTCGTATGGGCTTAGATAGGGATTTTTGTAGTCCAAAGCCACCACTAAACCCATAGCTACCTGCGAACGACGACGAATCATTGTACAATTCATACAAAGCACCAATGTTGTCTACTTTTCAGAAGAGTTTCCAAAAAGAAAATAATAATTGCTCTTCACACCTTGGTATTTTTTTAACAAAAATATGCATATTTAACAGTCCATGCAGATACACAAATAGCTGATACAATATGCTTGCCTGGTGATTGTCCATGTGATAAAGAAAGGAGCCGCCGTATGTTCTGGTGTCTAGCGGCCATCCTACCGTGTGTACAGTCAATCCAGGACGATGCTTGCTGGGATCTACGTCCCAAACCTGCTCAGACAAAACACAAGAAAAGTAAGGCTTGTTGAGTGAACGAAGTGAGGATTCAGCTGTAGGTGATTAGTAGATGACAATGAACTTCAGCCTTCAGGTTTAGTGTAAAGTATTGCTAGCAATAAAAGAACATATCTATTTCCTACTTCGCTTCAAGAAAAAAACGTCATTGGAATCGGAACTAACCTCTTTAATACCGAGAGCATAAGTTTGGTGCTGGGAACCTGATTGTTCGCGTAGCTGGAACTTTTTGATCACTTTCTGTAAGAGACACCACTGGTCAGAGCTCAACTAAGACCTCCAAGCACATTCAAATTTCCTGCCAAACGACGATTGGGGTAGGTAACTAGAGAAAAAAGAACTAAGCAAACTATACAATCTGGAATCTTTTCCTGTAAACTGCAACGGGTGAGTGAGAAGGAGATTCATACCTCAGATAGGGAACCTCTACAGCCTTCTCCAAGCAACGTCAGTCGTCCTGCCGCGCGATAAGAACTAATGAGTTGTTAGGTGGGTAAAAGTTCTCGACGTCCTTCTGCAAATTAATTTGACACTTAAGGTTCAACGCTATGAATTTCAGCGGAAAAGCACATTGTCAAACTATAGTTTCAAACGACAATGTAAGAAGTCAAAGAGCAAATAGCGAGTATGCACTTAATCCAACTGAGGAGGCTATCAACTTTGGCAAAGGTCGAGTCTTGAAGTCAGTAATATCTCATCTACCTTTCAACTCCATGCCTCTTTGAAAAATCTCCTTTTTTGACCCATCTTTGCCTATACCCATGTCGTTGGTTGCTATACCAGATACTCTGCTCTCATCGGCCTCATACAACAACTACAGCAGAGACACAATAAAGTTCATTGAGTTCTGTATACCAGCAATTTGTAGAGACCAATCGAGCTTAACCAAGATCATATCTAATGAGCAGTATACACAGTCAAATGTTCCTCTCGACAAAGGATATCCTCTTCGTCGTCATATGCACACACCTCCTGCCGCAAATGAGTATTAACCTAACAAAACACTAGCTACGAACAAAGAGGCATAAATTGTAGGTGCATCACGTTGGCAGTTCAGTTAAGCTGGGCCCTTGGATGAACTTGAGGCGATTAAGTGTATCAACCAGACTCAGAGTAATGAAAATCTCAGGAGTATGAAAATCTGACCTCACTGGCTGAAAATCCAGGATAAATTTCAACGCCAAGTTCTTCTGCTTTACTACCCAACCATCGTACAAGCTGACTCAGACTGCGATATCAAACACGAAGATCAGTTCGTGAATACCGAGGGTCTAAACTGATGCAAGGAAAAAATTAAATTTAAAATTAAATCACTTGTACTGGAATTTGCGTATATTCCTCTAGATGTTTCTCAAGCGTACCTAATGATATAATTTCCATGATTTTTGAAAGGAGACGGAAGAGGTAAAGCTCGTTTTTCCGTCAAAAACCAAAACTTGTCCTCCGTCACTGGCACTGTAATAGGGGTCTGCACATTACGGAAGGCATTGAGCCTATTATACTCACGTGAGGCTCACAATTCACTTTCAACCTGGAACTAGAATAAGCAACGAACTCGCAAAGTATGTAGGCGAATGAGACTCGGATTAGCAGAAAAACTTCATAGAAGGACATAATCTGGGCAGATTACCGACTGCTCCTTCCAATTCGGTATAAGTTCGTCCAAGGCTCTCGTCTCGAATACATTTCCGGACAGTATGTGCGCACCTGTGACATAAAATTGCATTGATTTTACGCAGCTGATGCCAACATGCACAGGCCTACGACGTTGTGGGACAGGACTGTGAGGAAAAAAATTTTGCAAGGTAATCCATGCCTGCTTAAAAGCTTTACCCTGAGAAGGTAAATCAAGCAAAAAAAACTAGAGCTGGCTCCATTTCAAGCTTTTGATGTTTATTTAGTGATTTTGGTTGGTTTGGACAAGTTTCTACTTTGAATCTTCAACAGTCCTGTGACACAAGGATTGACAATGTGCTTAGCTCTCATGTATGTAAGCTTCTGAAGAACGTGAAGGAGTGGAATTTAGTCGGTCAAATTCTCGTACCTTCCTCGACGGTGAACTGAGGTATAAATGGGAGTTGAGCATATACTTCTAACGTTGCATGGTTTAAGCTCACGCCCTTCATCTACCATTTCAGTCAGGCCTAATTATCCCCATCTTATTTTACAAAGAGCCTCAAATCTCCGACACTAACAAAAGCAGAGCAAAAGCTGAACAAACTCACCTACTTCCGCTCCCTTCTCAACGACGCACACAGACAAGTCTACATTCTTCTCTTCACAAAGCTGCCTCAGTCGAATGGCTGCTGCCAAACCGGCCGGTCCGGCTCCCACGATGACTACGTCATACTCCATCGATTCCCTTGGTTCTTCACGGCTACCCGAAGACGAGAAACTCCTAATTGAGCTGGTGAATCCCACCGGGAAAGGGCTGGAATATGGTCCGACATGAAATGCAGATGTCTCAATGGGCGAGACACATCTACTGCACCCACATAATTTCCGACATCTTGTATAACCGCAGCTGGAAAAGTCTGCGTCGGCCGCAGACTGCGTCAAATTGGAGTCATATGAATTGAATTGTTTACAACAGGAAGAAAGGGTTTTAGCACTAGTCTGTTGTAGTCGAAGGGCAGGCTGCCGATAATGATTAGACAATTGCAGCAGTTTTTGCAAGTTTTTGGGACGGGCGTTGTTAAAACTGGCCATCCTGTTCCCGCGTTCGGACTAATGAACTAAAGGCGACCAGGTACGCTCCTGGTGAATACACTTGTGTGAAAATAAACCCACGAAAGAGATTCTTCAATCTGAAAAAAAATGAAACAGCCGAAATTTCGGAATCAATGTGATTTTTGAATATCCTCAATTGCTGTTTACGATCGATGTAACTAAATCAGAAAATAGATCGATGTAACTAGATCATCAAGATAATTAACTGAAGTTGCTTGATTGAATAGTCGATTGTACCGGTGACAATTCTAGCCAAAAGATCGGAACCTCATAAAATTACAAGCTGAGTGGAAGTGCATAGAGTTCACAGTTCGCCTCAAAGACGAAGGAAGCAACGCCTCATCCTGTAAACAATCTCCATCAATCACCACCATCGACGGAATTTCACACTACTCTGCGTCACCACCTCCAGTCCTCCAACATCCTCAATTTCTGAATTTGCTGCATCAACTGACTTCAAATTTATCAAATCGTTGCTCGACCTAAAACAGCCTACGAGGCAAGAGGGGTCAAATTCTGAATGCAATTCACGAGCATGAGATAGTCCATGAAGTGCTCGAAGTGGAACCGTGATCCATGCACGAGGGTAGAGCCAGATGGCAGCGCAGTACATTGCACAGGCTCGTGGAAATCACGAGCGCTTTCAGAGCATGCACATTGCTCCACGAGTGGCTGTCTCACTTTGCGGCTGGGCACTTTACGTCGACTCCTTCCGTCGAATCCATCCGCAGTGCGCTTTAAGACGGACGGAATTCGCCTTGCTGCATTTCCACCCCGCCCCGACGCCATCGGAAAGCCTGCCTTGTCACGTCACACGTGTGTTTATCATCGCCACCTCAGCCACGTCGGATCTGAGCTCTTCGACGTAGAAAAGTGAAGAAGACCCATGCTGCCCGTTGCTTCCACGCGGCTTTAGCGGATTCTTCAAATGTGAGGTGTGTGTCAGGTTATGAACGTACAGTAGTGGATGCACTCCCTCAGTACCTCGGCTAAAAAAAAGATCCAGTTATTGAAAATCTGGAGGCTTTCCAAGAGTATTATGAAGGAAAAAACAGTCAGAAATTACTTTTTAATAATACATTTTTTGTTTCGATTCAGCTGGATGTCCAGGTCAAAACTGTTTTTTCTTATTTTTTCTAGTTTTACCCTTTTAAGATTTTATTTGTAAGGTTTTGAGAATATAATGTCAACATGTTACGAAACCATAAACGATTACGGTTTTCTTCATTGTTTGTTTTATATTGGAACTCAGACTTTACACAAGTAATTTTAATTAACTCGATCATTGTTGCTTGGCTAGCGAATTGACTTGATGTGACATGATTAAATGAAGAAATAAATCTGAGAAGACCAAACCAAATAGGTTGTAGAGCAGTTAAAAACTCGTCTATCCATACGTCATTCTACATTTGTTATGTGCCGGGATTTAGTCATGTTTTTTCATTTAGTTTATTCTTCCTTTATGTACGAACAGTATATCAATGTTGTAAACCTCTCAATATATATATATATACACACACGCTCAATGGAATATCTTGGATTAAATATTTGTGTCAATCATCAAAATAATGTGTCTGATGGCTAAAATTGTCAAATTATAATTTATATATAATTTTTGTATTTAGGTTTCTTTCATATTAAGTCATATTTTACCATATAATCTGAATTTTTTATACATAAAATTGCAATTTAATTTTCAATTGCAATAATTTTTTATCCAAATGCAATCAACTTTTTAACACCACTTAAATTAAAATACGAATTATAAATGACAAGTTGATTATTGTTTGAGATCACATGATATTAAAATTTATTATTATATTTATAAATGTACCAATAATGTGGTTGAGAGAAATATTCATCATTATGAATTGAAAGAAAAAGACATAGAAAAATTTTAACATTGAGTGAGCAATTTATTAAATTTAAATTTGGAGGAATAAATAATTATCGATGAACCCTAGAACAATAAATCAAGCTATAAATTTGACTTGATTCTTAATAATAAAATTTATGTTATTTACTAGAACTTAGTTTAGTTAGTAAACTAAATTATAATATAGTTCATTAAGTAGAAGATACAAAAGTTGAAACAGATTTTCGATGGTAGTTCCGATGTGTCTTATAAAGCTAGTCCTCTAGTCTCTCTTTATTACTTGTATAATTTAAGGGGTCTTCCCATCGTTTTTTTAACACCTCTCCAAGGTTATTTTTGGAGCTTGCAAAGAAATACCGCGAAATGTCATTCGATCACTTGACTCCAAGGGCTGTAATAGGGCTGCAATTAGAAGAATGTGCGAGGTTTCAGAGTCTTGAGAGATAACGAAGGAACCGTGAGTTGGCAGAAATTGATCTCTTTGCACTTCCCTGTTTGGCGTCGGCGAGGATCGCAGAGATCTCGGCTCCGCATTCAGCCTGATTGTGAGATTTAAGCCGTTCGGCGAATTGACAGTTTTTGACCAAGGGGTGGGATAGAAAGGATGTCCCCGCACTTGGAGAAAGACACAATTTTGAACATCGTCTTGAAATTCATCGGAGATGGCAGCTTAAAAAAAACTCGCGTGAAACCGGTCGTTCTTTCATCACCTTTCATGAGGTTAGGTTATGAAGAATGAAGGCAAATCTCCTAGACTTGATCGCTGGAATTGCGCCCCATGAAACATATCAAGCTTACTCCGCATCCATGCCCAGATCAATCGAGTGAAACATATCAATATTTCCATACCGATGGATTCACGCCATGGAATGGAGAAAGAAGTTGCCAAATTTGGAGAGCGATGGACCAAACATCTCTCTTCTTGAAATGTGGATAAAGTGGTTCGCAGTGATGTAGAGGTATATATTTTACAAGTGGTCTGACTCCAACCTGGTCTCAGAAGAAGAATTGGTTCTCAAACTGCTACATACGTAACTCATATTCGGTAAGGAAATTCGATGATCTGAGTTGCAAGGACCACACAACTACGCGAAGGACAATTGAGGGACACGATGCCGCCTGATTTGAATGCCGATGATTACTGCCTCGCCACGCATGAGGCATGGCAATTTGCGGCGAGGCAGATGCGGACCGAGGAAATGGTGCTCTTTGTCAATACGAAAGATTCGGAAGAAAGTTATCCTTATTTCAGAAACGAACGGCACCTCAAGTACCGAGTGCCGCCGTTTATCCATCCTCAAGCTCCAAGCACCGTCAGCGCCGCTTTTGGCAATTTCATGTACTCCAAACTAGTATGTTTCTACATAACTGAGATTTCTAAGAATGTGCTTCGCCCTTTCATGCGAACAGACATCACACCAGCAAGGTTTTGATTGTCATGATTATTTGGTTCGTATTTACAGGACGGAGCAATCTGTCACGAACCTTGTACCTTTCAACTTCTCCGATGTTTTGACATTTCCTCTAAAAGAATTGTGTTCTGTTGAAAAAAAGTGAAGAGATCACGCCGTACATTAAATTCTTCCTCGAGAGCTCGAACATTAGAATAGGTTGAGTCAAGAATCGAGACACCGTGAGAAGCGCGTTTCCTTGCGGCTGACGGGAATCTATAGGCGTCCGGTTTAGGTTTTACGTTAATCGACTCATAATTGATTCATAGTTGAGTCACTGAGGAATGACATGAACTTGATGGACGACTGACGGAAGACATCGTCAATGAAATCGTGGTGGACGATTTCTAAATCAAGTTCGAATCGTCCACCTCTAGAAGCTCTCGCTTCAGCTATACGTCCATCGAGTTTGCTGTCAACGTGAGGTCATTCTGACACACAGAGATGAGAATGGCAGTATTCCAAATCTCAAAGGGACCTGGATTTGTTGATATGCAGCCCAATTGCTAGCTTGAGTGTGGGTGCTTGGGGTGGCATCCAGGAATGCTACAAAGCCCTCTAAAGTGCTTCATCTTCGTTGTCGATACCTGACAGTGCTTCGATCTAGGTGCTTGATCCGCAACAAAGTTCTCGAACTCCGACCGGCAGTGTGCTTCACGTCAGTGATTGAGACCTGACAAAGCGTTCTGGATCCGGCTGTTTTAGGCCCACTCATGAGCTTCTTCACAGAGAACTCGGAGCGCGATGAACTACTTCAACTTTAGAGCTTGAGCCCCGACAGGGATTTGGATCTGGGTTCTGGATGCCTTCTCGGCCTTGGGGCCCGACGAAAGCCCGAGGAAACCGGATGTTCAGGGGAAACAAAATGCTTCGTGGAAGTCTTTGAGACCTAACGAAGGGCTTTCTTCTAGGTGCTCGTAAAAGGTGCATATTCTCAGCGGTTGGGCTTCGTTGGGGGCCGATAATGTGGTTTCGGAGAGTATCTGAGGCCAGACGAAGGGCTCTGTATGTAGGCCCTTGGAGCTCTTTTAATGAGCTGCTCCTCAGCGCTCGAGCCTCTGTGAAGGCTTGGAGACGGAGAATGTGTTGTATATCAATGCTTCAGCCTCCACGGGGTTGCTACCATGTGCTAGAAACCCGAATTTATGTTTATGTCAGCATTTAAGCCCCAACTGGTACTTAGACACCTGTGCTGGAATCCCTGTAAGGTTCTTCCTGATGGATCTTGAGACCCGACAGGATACACCTGGAGCCCCGATAAAGGCTTCATTAAGCGCATGGGATCCCACAGGATCCTAGAATCCAGGTGCCCGGAGTCCCAGGAGTGGAATCGGTCACATTGCTGGAGACTCATACCGGTACATCTGAGGCTACATCTCGGGTTCTCCAGAACGTTCTATATTACTGCCTAATATGCTGGGTTTCGTGTGCTGATGCCCATACTGTGCTATATCCAAACTCCATCTTGTGCCCAGTCTTCGTGCTTCAGGATGTCGGAGTGGATGCTTGACTGTTGGCGTTGCAGTCGCAAGCGTGTGCTTCATCTGTGGTTGACACCTGGTTTGATTGGATTCAATTCAGACAAGATGAAGATTACAAACTTATTGTCTTGCATACATCTCTTGGTATAATGGATGTAGTCATTAATATGAAACCGTCACAAACTTGAGTTTAGAAATGAGGCTTTCAAACGCCTCGAGGAACTCATAGAAAGGTCAACTAGAGCTAACATGTCCAAAGAGCATAAACAGAAACAAGCGGCATCGAACTAAATGGAAGATCCTTCGGAGTCATGATGTGATAATGATTGGGAGCTTATTCTTCTAGAGATATATCACTAAACTATGAGCGTTGAATATAAGCGAAAGGAGAAGTTGTTCTCGAACATGTCACCCATTAAGAGGACGAAGCATGACTGCGACTCCGGTGTGTTGAAGCTATAGGTGCGCACACTGAGTTCTCCTATGTTGATTGTCCGACAAAGGTCAGTTGCCTGGGCAGTGGAGCTTCTGTCAGTCGGGGAGAACCGTGCGCGCTGTGTTGCAGCTGGTACGTTTATTTAGCTTTACCACCGAATATGATTCTTTGAGCAGATTAAGCTTTATTATTTGCCAGGTCTGTTCAATCAATGAGTTCAGCTGATGAGAATCGAGGTTCAGCTCTGTTCTAGGTGCAGAGTTGGATTGCAGTTGAGTTTTTTATGCCATAAAAGCGTGCATCTTTGCAGGGTTTGTCCCGATTTTGGCAGGCATGTTGAGGGAGAAGGATTATTTCATACGAGAGAATTTGGCTTTGTGCTTTAAACACTTAGCGGAAGGTAAAATCTCTGTATGTGAGGTTGATGATTCTGGTTTGTTCTTTAATTTTCTTTCTAGTACCACAGCAATGTGAATTCCACCGCTCACCAGGGAACAGGGTCTCTTTAGGCTCCTACACTCAAATGACAATGAGAACAGATTTACCATAGCGAGGCTTGGCACCTTCAGTGCAAATTTGGAAGACTCGTCAGTCAAGTACATCTGCAATTCGACCCTTATTCTAATGCACAAGCCTGACAGTGCAGCTGGTCAGGCTGTTTGTGGATTACTCTGCGAGATGGATGTAGTGAAAGGCCTGGTTAACATGGTACATTAAGCAACTATTCCTCCTGAGCATTGCAATTTCAACTCCAGTTGAATTTTTCAACCAGAAAATTTTCACTCAAGCACAAGAAGGATAGGTGAATTTAAAAAAATGAAACGTTGATGCAGAAAATAATCGAAAGCACATGTATTCAATGGTATGGAGCCGAGACTTATTTGTAGCATTATTTGGTCTGCAGGTCGCGAGTCAGAATAAAACTTTGAGGAAAAACGCATTTGAAGCCCTTGAAGCTCTGGCTCAAATGTCCCACTTGGGTCAGTACGGACTCTGTCTTCTATGCTCACATATTTCTTCCATATATCCTGGTTACCAACTTCACGTTTCCATCCTACGTTACCAGCATGAGAGGCATAATTTGTCTGTAGAATAAGGCTAGCATTTCTCAGATTTCGTACAAAGAGGAACATCTTTTTAGCCTACGCATCAGACGTCAAGTTTCATCAGAAACTAGAGACTGTACAAAACAAAAATTTCTAAATTAATGCAACAAGAAATCAAAGCTAGTTACGAAGTTAACTGGAGTTACCAGACCAAATCTGCTGCCTGAAGCGACACAGCAGCTTGTTCAACACTTCAATCGCAGTAAAAATATATATCGCCATTGCATATGTTAATGCCGTTCTTTTGTGTTGCGTCATGTTTCTCTTTGTGACTTATCAGTTAGGTTTGAGCTAGTGAAGGAAGGAACGGTGTTGAAATTTTTGTTGATGGTAATCAACGACGAGACAGATCAGTGGATAAGGCAAACTGGCCTTGAAGTTCTCTCCAAGTGCATATCGGGAGGAAACTACAATGTGCAGGCTTTAGAAGAACTGCTGGCAGTGAATTCTGTTCCAACGGCTATCCGTTTTATCCAAAGTCCTTGGAGAAATTTGCAGGAGTCTGCTTGTCGGTTCTTGTGTTTATTATGGTTAGAATCATCTTCAACTTTCAGGCTCAGATATGATTTCATAGTAATGATAATAAATTTACTTTCGATCATTATTTTTTTAAATTATACTTTTTGTTATCAGGTAGCTAGCTTGTTCTCCCGACATATGTATTCTTAATTTATAGTCGCTTCCCATACACACCTTCACATCTTGTCCAAGAAAGAAATCCAGTGAGGTCTGTATCGGAGTTAGCTAATTTGCTGCGAAAGTGTACGAGCATGCAATGTCCATCCTCGAGATAAGAGTATTCACGGACTCTGTTTCTGGACTTCGATGTGCAGCATGCATAATACTGGAAAAACACAAGCAGTTGAATGTAGAGCGGTCGAAAAACTAATCCATTTACTAAACGACATCGAACCACGTGTGCAAGCTCTTGCATGTGCAGCGCTTTGCTGGTAAACATCCCAATCTATACTGCAAAATTGTTGTTCAGGTAAGTTGACATACATGTGGTGATTGCGTAGTGAAAGGGATGCGGCACTCTGATACACAGATGAAAACCTAAGGTTGAATTTCATACTTAGGTCTTCATCTGAAGACAGAAGACTAGCATGAATTTGAAATTCATCCTTAAGTTCTGATTTTCATTTTGACTGAAGAATTTCAATCCGTCTTCTTTGGACCTTTTATTTCTTATTGGGGCTACTATCTAGAGGTGGATGCCTGACCAGCAACAACATGTAGCCTTTTAAATATATATGTCCTCCTCTGCCTCATTTCACTCATATTAACCTCCACTCTGAGGATAATGTAGTTGGCATCTGATACGAAAGCTCAAACTGTTAACCTAGCAAGCGTCTTCAAAGGGAGTAGGACTGGCAGGGGAAAGGAGCAATAGGCGATTACAACTGAATGGAAAAACGATGTTCTGCAACCATGTACTAAATCTCCTTTTATCGTGGTTTAGACGACCGACGATATACAGACTGCAATACGAGTTTTATTCAACTTTTGTACTTCCAAAAGTTATTTAAGAGAAAGCGAAATTGACCATTCAATACTAAACGCTCATAATAATGTACACAAATGTGATCATAATCTGAGGTTCTTCAGAGGACGAACGCCACAAAGCTCACCGTGATACCTTAGATTCTCTTTCTCCGGCAATAGGTTCCATTAGACCAGGAAATTTGAAGACTGTGTTTTCAGCTCTCTACATTGATTTACTTCGGGAAACAGATGTTTTGGTTAAAACCTCAAGAACTCCCGAAGTTGCTATAAGTTGCAACACAACTCAAATTCATCTTAGCACATTGGTGAATAGGTTCAAGGGTTCTCTAAAACACCTTTTTACTCATTCCACAATAAGTTCTATGAGAGACTGATCTGTAAGTTCTTAGAGACTAATCATGTGCTAGTGTAGTACTTTCTCAGCTGACTCGATTTTTGCCAATTCTGCACTTACCTGCCACACATTCACAGTTGTATGCTACCAAATCTTGTTGAAACTGTGTGATGTATGGGTGTGGATACAAGTTCATCGAGCATTGATTTTAGGTTTTTTGTGTTTGCTGCCTATTACTATCGGTACATTTTGTTGTCAGCATAACTATAGACATCCAAGGCAAGAAGGACTTCGTTATGATCAAGGGAATCCCTATTATTTTGAAGCTACTGGATCTTACGGATGAGCAACTATGCCTTTTTGACATTGCGGTGAATACACATTTCCTCTTACCACAACACCACATTTTTGAGAAGCTGGTAATATTGAATTTGGCATTTTCGATATTTGAGCACTCAATGATGATATGTGGACCACGATTACTGATATCAAATGATTCAATTACAGTTGCTGTTAAATGTTGCTGAGTATCCTGTCGCGAGGAAAGAGCTATTCCAAGATGGACTTGTTGCGCTGAGAGAGATAATCAAGACATCAACATCTCCTTTGATGAAGAAGCGCGCCAAACAAGGGTTACAACAATTACACTTTGATCATCTACCTCATCAATTTCCCTACGACAAAATGGACAAAATCTACCTTCGTGGAACACCAAAGCCTACTAGGAGTCTGCAAGACTCATACCCCCCGACTCAGAGCCCCAGCCCACCTTCCAAGTCACCCTCATACTCAACGAAACCATCAACATCTTCTTCACCAGTATCTATATTGAAGCGCCCTACATCTCCAGGAAAGCGCCAATGAGATGACCAAAGGTCATGAAGCGAGGCTCTCAATGACATCACAGTTCTGATGTTATCACCTGAGTATTAGTAAGTTGCGAGAACTAGGAGAGAAGCTTCAAGCCTTGTGTTCATATAGTTTGAGCACTGAGATCCAAAACTGAGTTCTGAAATAGCTTCAGTTACATGCAGGTGATTTGTGTCCCAATGTAAGTTTTGGACCCTTAGTTTTCATGTCTGCACCCAGAACGGTAGATTGAATGAAATCACGACATAACGTGCTCCACAGTGCTCGTGATGAGGTACCGTTGAGGCTCTTAAGTACGATCAGACCTTAGATCTTACTTCATCATTACTTCTTTGGAAAGGCATTACACATTTCTTCAGAGGCTTTACTCGTAAGGAGTTCGGAACAGACTTAATAAAGTACAATGAGTATTTTATATAAATCTGTGTTGTATTAGGGTCAACAGTAGCAAAGCAAAGTGCTCTATCTCAGATTTCCAAATGCTTTATATAAATAGCTAAGGTTGTTCTCACTTGTATCCATAATAACCAAAAAAAAACTTAGATGAGTTGTAGCTCAACTGTCCATGCACAACGTCTGTCACGAAACTGCATACATTTTGAAAGTGAGTAAACTTTGAAAACATTTGTCCATACTTGTTCAGTTATGGAAGGCATATTTTATGAGTACAATTCGAACATAGTTACACAGAACTTGTTACCAGATAATGTGAAGTACAACTTTTCCTGAGTCCATCGCCCTCGAGAGACTTCAGATCAATCACGGTTATAAACATAAGAGACTTTCTTGCATCATACACCATGGACATTACGTATGTAAGAGCTGGTCAGAACAAGTAGAGATTGACTCGGAACCTTTTCTATCAACATCGATCGCTAGTGTGTACGTTGTGCAGAACATTTGAACATGTGTCTACTCTAAATCCTTTCAAAAAAATTCTATTCTACTGTTGTAAAAGTGAATGTTGTCTCAATGCTCACAGACTGATTTGTGTTGTTGTCCACTGAACATTACGAAGCGACTGCCCTTTACACACCTTGAATCACACTCGGTGAAATTCTGCTAGATTACAATATTTAACACGCGAGAAGCAATAGTGTGATCATGTGCTCGTGGTGACCGCTGATGAAGCTGGGCGACCAGCTTTGGCACAGGTGTACAAGGGCTCAAAAGGGAAACTGGGATCACGTTGGAGCCTGCACATCCACGCACAAGTATAAACATCTCTATTCGTCAAGAATTTTTAAGTTAAACGCCAATTTCTGATACAAATGAAAACATCCTCAGGGAACAACACGTAGTCTCTCAGGACACCCAACTTGGCATATCTAAGACATCCATTTGCATCTGAGCAATGAGTGTTTTCCTAACCGCCAAGATGGCGGCATAGTACATTGCATGTAAGACAAACTGCAATACAGGTGTCAATCCAGCGGGTATAAAGAGATAGGATGCAACCTGTGACCGGGTTATTATTTACCAAAGATAAGTAGCTCACCAGTTCTCTTCTGGGTAGACAGTGCCGTCACCTTCCAAAACATGGATGCTGTAGGCATGCCTTGACTTAGGAGATGTGTTTTCATAACTGCAGAACAATACACATCTTTCAATATTTAGAAGACTTGATTGTACTCATGTGGAGAATACCCAAGAATGCACTCGATATCCATTTTTTTTTTTAAAGAAAATGATTTGAGGAAAAAATAATTAGGAGCTGTATTAGGAAAAACGAAGTGTAGAAGCTATGATACGATAGATTCTCTTCAACTGAACTTTAAACATTATGATGTTTTCCGATGCGTTGCATAGACGTGATGGATCATGTGACAAATATTTTTTGAGAGCGTTCAAATTTGACATTGAAAATTTACCTCTGATGAACAAGAAGCCCATGTAGAACAACTAAGGATCCTGCCTTCATTACCAAAGGCACGAATTTGCTCATGTCGTACGATGGAGCACTTCCCTCGAACTTTGTAGTTCCATCCTTGTTTGTCACAAATCTGGTTGCAAGTTCGCCTTCACATAACAAAAGCTACCCTCATATGACACTTGTTGTCGGATGTAGACGAATGGAAAAGAGGAAAGGTATAAATTGACCTACAGAAGCAGATGGCTTCAACGAACGATCGATCATTTGGACATCCAGTTTGAAGATGAATACTCACCTTTATGTGATCCCGGAAGAGCCCATAGACACCCATTCTCGGTATTTGAATCCTCGACAGCAAGCCAGAAACCAGTACATGTGAAAGGATCTGTATACAAGAATGTATTATCTTGATGTGGTCTGACCTCACCGCCGATGCCTGGTTGCTGAAGAATACAACCCCAATAAGATACAAGATGTCAATATCAATCTTAGAACAACATTCAGTAGCAGAAACAACAAACAAAGTGTTTATACATAGATTTAAATAGCATGAGCTTCTAACCAGTTCGATTGGCTTCAAAAAAGAAGTAAAGAACATACGTCATATCAGAAAACTTAATGACGCTAGAGAGCTCATGGGCTTTTGCGTGTCCGTATAGAAGATGTTTGATTGACAAAGTCCAGAAATTTGGCAGTGTATATACACTAACCTTAAATATATACATGGATTGTACTGGTAACGGCTTTCTGTAACCTAGTGATGCGACCAATCCCGTCAATTTCTCTGATCTTGAAAACTTTCGGAAAACTGGATCAACGTCATGAAGTGCTGCATGACAACAATTCTTCCAAGAGTTAGGTTGACAAAAAATTGTCACTTCGTCCACGGTGTCTTAGAGAGCCTACAACACTGTCGCTATTCATACTATTCACTATAATACTCAATCATGACAGTCAAGCTATTAGATACCTTTTCAAATATCAAACTTTTGATACCGGGAGATAACCTATCATCCTCACCGTGTCCGACTTTGTTGATCGATAATTCCTTGGGTTGCCGTAGTTTTCCTTCTTCATCAAATGCTTTCTCTGATCAATGAAAGTTTCGATTGGAAGGTTTTCATGAAAGCGCGAAGGTAGAAATTTAAAATCAGACCTCAAATTTCTTTCAATGACACGTGAGTGGAAACTTCCATGACCTTACTGTTGATGATGTACATTATACGATAAATAATGAAATTCAAAGATCCAAAAGCATAACACAAAATTTTTAGAGAAGAGTAAACTTACCTTCAAAAAAGAAGGAGATATTGTTTGCGCTCTTGCGGAAATAATCATCTGTAGTTTTTACCTACAAGAAAAAGTATCAAATGAGAGCCACTAAACAGAAATTCGATTGGACCCTAATAGTCCACATAATACAGGCAACTCCTCTGATGAAACTTTACCTACAACCAGATGATAATTTAATGACATTTCTGATTGCAGATTGTTCATACGCTACAACTAAGAAGTATGAAGGTTCTAACCGAAGGAATCGCGATCGTTGTCAGGTGTGCAAATTAATTCAACATCTCAATACTGAAACATGTCATTTGTATCTTGATTCATTTTGAATCGGTTGACAGGAAATTTGACACAATCATCAGCTTCGAAAAATAAAAGGTCGTGCGGGATTTCATCTGCTCTGGTGTGCAACAATTAGTTCCTCTGCTGTGATCCGGCTCAGGCTTGTTGGCCAAACAACCACATGAGGTTGTGATTAGGGCCAAAACATTTTATTAGCAACTTGGATCTGACTCGATCATTAATCGGAGAAAGTACCTGCACATCATTTTTTGTTGAGAATACGGATTTGTTTTGAGGAGTAAACTCTTCAAGCAACTCCGCCATGCGCTGCATCAACTCCTTGCACTCTTCCTGACTTGCGAACTTCTCGACAACGAGATATCCTATAAGTAAAATGAATTGAATGAGATGTATGTGGAAAAGAAATCAACATTCACATAATCTAGCGAGCATAAGGACATTCTCTTATCACCCCGCTCGCCATTTACAAGCAAAATCTGTATAAAGAAGCATCGTTCAAGCGAATGGCTCTACAAATTCTCGTAAACCAATTCCTCATCATATTTGTCAACGAAAAATCAACAATCTACAATTCGGCCAAATGAAAATGGGTCAAAAATATGTGCTAGGCTGTGCAAATTGTTCAACTCCACTACGACGGTTCCAAATTCTCGTCATTCGAAGTGCTTCCCTAATTGGGTCGGGTCTACCAGCCGGGCCCAAGGAGAGACTGCAACTCCCCTCCCAACCCCTCAAGCCTAAACTGAACCAACAATTCGGCCGCTGATATGTTCTCAGAACAAAATTCAAAAGTGGCAAACAATTCATCTCTGGAGTAGTATCCAAACCATTTTTTTCGTAAAATTCAACCTGCTCCAGGGTCAAAAAGTTATCTTCTGCCCCCATACTGTCTCCTCTTCTTCTTGCTCTTCGTGCTATTCCTCGTCCTGGTGCTGCCTTCACCTGAAGCTCCTGTCTGCCTGCGTCTTTCGAAGAGGTACAACAGCTCGCTGCAACGAAGAAAAAAAAGGCAAATTGAAAATCCCGCTCACAGACAGCTTGCAGCACTGTGAAGAAGGAATAAAATCGCCGAGATGGATGAATATACGATTGCAGTTCGAACTTTAGAGGCTGATGCAGCAGCTTTTCAGCCGAAATTTGGTCGGTCTAACACGTTGAGCTTCTTTTGTCCCTTCCTCGTGAGCTCTATGACAGAAAGTCAGTCAGTCTTTGCACTCCATGTGAATCTTCCGTGTCCATGTCCCGTGATCCAGCTACTTACAGTACTCCTCCACAACATTGTCTCCTTTCGCCTCCCCTGCAGTCCCTCCCTAAGTCCCCTTCCCTTCGACCGACCCAACCGACAACCGGCTTGCTTCTGGGGAAAGGCAGTCTGGCCACATAATTTACTCGCTCCACACATGCAATCTTCCAATTTCCTCCGTCCTTTTGTACTTACACAAAGTGCGCTACAGGTGCTCTCCTTACATGGAGGACGAGTGTTGAATGTGCAGTATTTAGACTTCGTTTGTATAATCAAACTTTATCTCCACATGGCCCTCCATTTTCTACTACTACCACTGTACTTCACTAGATGATACTTCTTCCTCTCGACTCCATCAACTATACTTTCTTAGGAATCCTTCTCGGGAATTAATCATGTGACTCATCCACCACAAGCTACAATAAAAACACGCTCACTCACACACGAGAATCATACATGGCTCCGAACGACCTTATAATACGGAAATGCATTTATGAAAGGGCAAATGTCAATGAAAATAAAATATCCAAAATGGCATTCGAAATATTAGAGGTTTGAAGGATAATTTTAAGTATGAGCTCACGTATTGAAATATGCGTTGAGTAGACCTGAAAGCCGGTATGGATGGAAGTACGTGATATATATTTATTTCCTGTTGCAGATCCTTGAAAAGGCTTGCAATAATGAGCTCTCAGGATGTGTCGTCCTACGAGACTTGGAGGACTCACTGGACTAGAGCTAGCCTGGCAGTTATAGGAATCTAGCTCAGCCTCATGAACAAATCTACCGCTGACAAATCTCCCACAACAGTTTCCTTGGTGTTGAAATAAATTGGAAATATAATATTTCTTTTGGCATACTCATATGTTCAAAGAATAAATAAAGTTCATGATCAACTATGAAGCAACACGTTCCCCAATTTTTGTGCGACGGCATCACGTTAGATGAACTTTACATTGGAGTTATTGACAACATGGTGTGATTACGTTTGCCATATCAAGATATATGTTTGTCTTACCGTACACGATTTTGGGAAGCCCAAACGGAAACAACGATAGCTTTACAAGACACAATGTTCTATGACGAAACTGGGAATAAAAGTTTAGAAGTTACGTGTTCTTTCTTGAGGACATAGCAGATGAAACTTCTGAGAGTCACGACACGTACAGGTCCCACAATTAAGAGGTGGTGTGTTTTCACTAAACTTGCATCTAACACCTACTTCTTCCTTTTTGTTGGACAATTGGCTCAACTTGTAAAATAGCCCAACTTCTGTCCATAATTTCAGAAGCAATCCTATACATCTTTTTAGCTTATTCCGTAAACGTCCATAAGAAGACTCATGAAGATCCCAAGCTTCAGATGCGTTTTTTCGGATTAGGCTTTATGCTTTAATGTATTCAATTTTTCAACGTGTGCTTTCCTAGCACTTGGAATGGCGTTTTGTACCATACATATAACATTCAAAACGCGTTACAAAAGAAACTGAGGCCAACATTTAAGCATGGAAAAGCCTGAAAAATAATAAATAGCTAACCAATACAAACCGTCAATAAGGATCAATTACGTTGGCTAGTTGGACCTGTGCTTGATTAACTAAATACAGATTTATGCATTTGTGCTATAGATTTATATTTATGGAAAAATAATATTCGTGCTATTATGACACAAGCAAGTTTGTGCTATGTAAAAGTACAGTGAATTTCATGTCGGAGGTTAGCTTGTGCATATTGTTGGATCATTGTGTATTAATCATGGCTATTAGCACAAAATTATTGTTGAAGATCAAGAAGATATACAAGTACCTTTCGACTCCGGATCATTCAATTTAGTATTCTTATATATTCTAGTTATCCCTCAGGTAAGGTTTATTATCTCTTATCCTTCTATACTAGGGTGAGGGATAATTAGCCAAGTCACCCAAGCGGTCGGAGCAACGAAGGCGAATGGATACATTCTTCCGTCAATCGAATTCTTTGTGTAGGAGTTAGTTTGCTGCAGCCCTTTTTGTTCCGACATTGCATGGACCGAGGATGAGCTCAGGGCTTTGAGTTTGACACGATTTATGATTTCTTGAGTCGTGGGGGTTGTTTCCTGTCATGTGTAGCAAGGATTTTTTGTCGGACAAAAACATGCAGCTATAGTAACGACCTCTGGATATGAGTTCAACCCACGGCTAAACCTTTTGGACATCCTTGCGCAATTTTCTACGAATATATTGGATCATTTTCGTGAGCATTTGGCAAAATGCTCTGAAGGGATGGCGAAAGGGAAGAACTATTTTAAGACTATAGGTGTTAGTGAGCAAGACGAGCACTTGTGCTTGTGCACGAGCACTTGTTAGTGGGCCTTGGCAACACTAGCAAGCGCAATTTTGCAGATTCACATGAATCATAGATGATGAATATTTTCAGTAACCCTGCAACGCGGCTATCATTTGCTAGAATCTACCAGCGTTGTCCCAATTGGAGTCATCGGAAAACTCACAAGTGAAGTATGACGGCGTGGCATTGGAGAACGGGCCCAAGTGTAGACTTGGATCGGTCCGGAAGGACCCGATCGAAAACTTGGGTGACTTGGCTAATTATCCATCACCCTAGATAGTAGGCCGAGGGATAATTAGCCTAAACTAAGGTATAATTGGTACCTTTCTAAATATCATGTTGAGCTTCATATCATGTTGAGCTTCATGCATTTCAGAATTGATATTTTTAAAAGCTACTAATTTTTAGTGATTTCTTTGAATTTATTATCAATAACATAGTGATTAAAATATAATCATCTTTAGCTTAAAATATTCAATCTTAATCAAAATTTCAAGTTTTGTTATAGATTGGTATATTAGAATCATTAGTATATTGATTCTTTTATTTTGATATAATACTTTAACTTCTTTATACATTTCTTATTGAACTGGAAAATTTTCTATTTTCTACTTTTTTTTTGAATAGAATATCAATTTTATGAATTCTTTCATAAAATTTATTATTTTATCAAATCCAAATGACAGTATTTCATTTGGATTTCATTGGAGTATAACATCACATATCTAATTTAATAAATATATTACATTTTTAAATCAATTTTTGGTTAAAAATTATAAATCATGTTTGACGTATCACGAATCTATTCATTATCAACTTGAATTTAGTTTATAATTCAAAAGATTGAATATGTTGAGAATGAAATTTCCATCTGTGAATTCAATATTTGAATCAAATTTGATCATAATTTGATAAATATACACATTATTGTATTATTACATATTATATATACTACTATTTTGTATAGCCAATTTTTTTATAATTGTATCAATATATTAAGAATTAAAATAATAATTTTTATTTTAATTAAAAATCAAAATTAACATTTTATCAACAAATCATATTTTATTTATTTTGTCACACTAAATTCACATAACCGACACATACATACGCAACACAAATAAATTGATTAAAAAAACACATGGTTCATCTCTCAAATATAAAATTTTTGAAAAATATTAATGGTTCAAATAAAAAAAAAGCTCATTAAAATCTTGAGTAATCATGAAAAAATGATACATAATATAACTATCATGAGAGCAAATATTTTGAAAAGACTCCCACAAGTCATGTTGACAAATTCAAGTAAATTTTTGAAATTGTGAGTAGTAACATCAAAAGTTTTTTTATGATCACAATGCTCAACTTATATTGCAAAGTAATATCAAGTATATACTATTCATATTATCTAATCTAAAATCTTATAAATTTGATGTAATTAGTTCAAATAAAAATCTAATAAACTTAATTTTGACATTAACAATTTTATTCTGTAATAGATAAAAATTTAGACTTGAATAATGCTTGTGTACTCTCAAAATAATATATTTATCTTTTTGCATCTCAAGCATTATTTTTATAAATTTCCACAATCAAAGATTTTTTGAAACTAACATCACAAGATTTTTTATCATGTTAAGTTTAAATTTAACATGAATTGATATACGTTTAGCTTTCGTGAAAGGTATAACACAAAAAACATCTTGACGAAGCACTCAATCAAACAATCAACACATGACATAGAAGTAACGTGGTTTACCCTTAATAGGAGATCAACGTTCATCAGGAACACAAAAGATTATAAGTGTTGTCACAAAAGATTCTTTGTACATGACAGAAACTGGGATATTTAACCCCAGTTTAGGCAACTGTTCTAGCTAGTTATAGCTAGAATTTGAGGTTACTTTCTAATTGAAGTTCACCTCAACAATCTTTTCTTTAACTCACGTTAAGAAAACAATAAACTTTATAACCTACATTATTACCCCGCGGGAAGTTTTAACACAATGTCTCTTCTTTATACAAGAGTTAACTGGAACTAAGTCGTAATCCTAACAATATATAGTAATAACATAAAGAAATAACTAAAAAATTTCTAGCATAGAGTAAACAGAAATCTTACAAATTATATAATTATTATGTGGAAACTTCTAGAAAGAAATCTAATAAGAGACGACTCTTTAGATGAGAATTAACTAGAACTAAACCGTAATCATAACAGGTTATAGTAATAATATAAAGAGATAACTGAAAATTTGCTAGCATAGAGGAAACAAAAATCTTATAAACTATATAATTATTCCGTGGAAACTTCTAGAAAAAAACCTAATAAAAGACTACTCTTTACACAAGAGTTAACTAGAACTAAGCCCTAATCATAAATGATATAGTAATAACATAAAGAGATAACTACAAATTTGCTAGCATAGAGGAAACAAAAATCTTGTAACCTATATAATTATTTCGTGTGAACTTCTAGAAAAAAATCTAATAAGAGACTTCTCTTTACACAAAGTTAACTAGACTTAAGTCTTAGTCATCACACGATATAATAAATATATAAAGAGATAATTGAAAATACTATGCAAACAAATTTTACCTATGCTTTCCATGCACAACCTGCATGGTAGCATAATGTTGCTTGAAACTCTCTAAAGTAATGACTTTGATCAACGTATCATCTGGATTGAGTTTATCATCAATCTTGACTAACTCAATTTTAGAGTTTATTGTCAATCTTGACTAGCTCAATCATGAAAGTTTAACGTCAATCTTAATTGATTCAAT